CCTAGGCGCCCCGGGGACCGCCGTCCTCCCCGCCGTGCTCCCGGCGGGCGCCCGGGATGCTGCTGCGCGCAGGCTCCCCAGCGGTGTGGACGCCTCTCCCGGAGGACGGGAGATCTCTCCGAAACAGTGCCGGGCTGGGAAGTTCCATCCTGCCCGAGAGCAGAAGCAGGGCGCTTCATCGCTGGCTTCTATGAAGTCTGAAAGCTTCCCCCCCCCCCCAAGAACGTATGAAGATGCAATTAAAACAACTCCACGTCCAGGTGGATGGAGAAAATACGAACGTTGGCCAGGAAATAAAGGGTTAAGTCTTTGCTGAAGTACGTTTTACGGTTTAAAAAAAAAAATGCGAAATAGTGCAGTAATGCAGAATTTAGAAAGCTAAAATGTGGGTTTCTTATCACTTTCTTTAGATTTTATTAAAATTAATGCTTCAAATTTTCAAAATTTGAAACAAAAAGTTTAACTTCATCAGTGTTAATTTTAGTTAGTTAGGAGCACATCTTGGGACTTGGAAGTATTTCGACAAAATGCATTTAAGAGTCTTATCCTAATCATGACGGAAATAATTTTTTCATTTAAAAGTTTTTATCTCTACAATGTACTTTATGTAGGATGTTAACTTTAATTATAAGAACATATATATATATTCTTATAATTAATGGGTATATATACCCATATATATATATGTATATATATATATATATCCATTGCAATAAACTTTAAAAAGTTGTAAAAAGGAAGTAACAGCTCTTTTCCCCCACTCTTTGCTAACCACAACCATCTCTTTAAATGTACCCTCCTGTTGTTTCTGATATATATATATAAAGTATAAATGCACATACATTTAATATGTGAGAAATATTTTGAAGAATGACTCGTGGTTAAAATATAGTAGTCTCCGAGTGGGCTGTGATGATGTAAGGGTAAGCGTGTTTTGCTTAAAACTCCATTTGTTACTTACTTACTGTCCCATAGTATTAGTGAAAGCATTTCCACACCAGACCCATTTCCAAACCCAACATTGGTTTTTTGAACTGCCCATTTATATACAAATGAGCAAACATAAAGAAAAAAGCTTGGATGAGTCCATTCTAACTCAATAGCAGTGTTCTAGGCATTAAGAGTTCTTCATATTACAGGTATCGTAAGCGGTGGCTTCCATTTTAGGAGTCAACTTTGTATGAGGAAGACATGATGTAGGATATTGTTATGGGATTGCTACACTGGATCGTTCGAAACCAGCCATCCACAGAAACCAAATGAGGTTCCATTTTAAACTGGGATCCCTTCACAATAGTATCACTCGTGTCAAGAATATGCCTGCCTCCAGTACACTCCAAAACCAGGGCACCATTATTTTAGGGTATTTTAAGCTGAGTCATTCCAAAGCTGCAAAGGAATCTTTCAAAAGGTGCCATTCCTGTGTACTCCATCTAGAGGCTGTGTGGAGTAAGGGAATGGAGTTGAGTTCTTTTGCAAAAGCTCTTTTTCTAGGTTCCATACTTTTGTTGTACTGTGATTTTTTTTTTTTTTAAAGTTCTTGAGATCAAACTGCAAGATAACCTCGAAGGGAATTCCGAGTTTATAATTTGTTTCTACCCCCAATCCACCTGTTAGCCACCGTTTACACTCATCAATTGTCTTGAAATATTTTAACTTTCCTTTGAAAGCTGCCCGTAGCTTTGTTTCAGAAGAAGCCTTACGTAGTATTTCTCTAAAGATAATACTGTTATTTCTTTTATAGGGCTTGAGTAGAGCCCATTAAAAAGTGGGATGCAAAGGCCAGTGAGGTGGCTGAGCCAGTAAAGCGGCCAGCTACCCAGCCACACTGAGGTCAGTCACCAGCATCCACAAGGCAGAGGGAGCACCCGACTCCTCCACTGTCTTCTGACTCCACGTTAATGCCCGTGTACAGGCATAAACAATAAATGCTTAAAAACTTTTAAGGGATTTAAGTAGGGGCTTTAGCATGCTGGATCGCAAAGCCTGCACAAGTTTGATTGGCCTTCCTGCAATTTCTAGGGCTTAATATTTGCAGTGCACCAAAACTGAGCCTGTGGCTTTATACTTTGAAAGTTCAGGCCTATTCTGATTGCAAAGGCTTTATAGTTTCTACTAGACCACAGATCCCAACAGTGTAATTAACTTAAAATTAATTGGTAACATCCCTCCCTTCACACATGGAGATTCTTTCTGCCTGGGATTACCATGATTAAATGGAAAAGTGAGCTTTTTAAAATGAGTGAATAAATTCCAGCTAGTCACTTTCACTTATAGTGACACAGGCCTTACCTTTAGCTTTCTGAAATGCAGAGGACTAGAAAAGGAAAAGGGGGTCTATAAACCAGTTAATAAGTAAGCATGCCATAGCATTAAAACCCAGTGTCTGCCAGCCCGGTCCTCAGGTTACTGCTTGTGCTTATTGCGGCTGGATTATCTAGCTCCCCATTACCTGCCTTTTCCACCTTCTGTGTTCTTTAGTTCCATTACTTCAGAGCTAGAAAGAGCAAGATTTACCCAGTTTTATTTTTGATTTTTAAAGCCAAGGATTTTGAGTGGCAGCAGCCAGCCTTGAATTCTACTTCTGATTTGTAAGCTGTGTGAATTTTAGTAGATGACTTAGCTTCTCCAGGTCTCAGCCTTCTTGTTTACTTAATTAACACATACATAGTATGATCGTGCTTGATACCTTTGATAAAGCATTTGTATAAAGTGACAAAGCCCATTCACCTTAGGTAACTTAGTAGCTTCTCATTCACCCTTCTTAAAAGTTTCTTCAGTTGGCTTTTAGATCCCTTCCCTCATTGGCCACTAGCTTCCTGAACTTCTTTATTAATTCTTCATCTCCCTGACCTGTCAACTTTAAGTCCCAAGTCCCTAGGAACCCCATTCCTTTCCTTGTCTTGATGTATTATTGTCAATTTTCAATTGTTTAAGATCTGACCTATGTTGTGTCTGTACTTAAACATCTAATAGACATTCCAGACATATATAAAACTAACTCCTGATTATTTCTTTACACCTGAAAGAAAAAAGTGGCTACTGCTGCTCCATCTCTGAACTTTATCTGGGATAACTGATCCACACCGCCAGGATTTCTGTCCGCAATTGTTGAAACCATGGCTTGTCCCCTTGCCCTCATACAATCTACACAGAACACAACAGTTAAAGAGATCCTTTAAGATGAAAGGTGGATCCCTGCCACTTCTGTGCTCAAATCCTTGAGGGGCTGGGGCTGTAGCTCAGTGGTGAAAGTGGGTGCTTAGAATTTGGAAAGCTCCGGGTTTTGATCTTTAGCACGACAAGAAAACTTGTAGTTTTCCATGTCACTCAGCATAAAACCAAAGTCCTTAATGATGGGCATCAGACCTCACATGATCTGACTATTGTCGCTCCCCATTCCAGCCATATGATTGGGCACCTCTCTGTTCCAAAGTCTCTGTATCTTTGCTTATTCCCCCCCCCCCCCCCAGACAGGGTTTCTCTGTGTAGCTTTGTTGCTTTTCCTGGAACTTGCTCTGTAGCCCAGGCTGGCCTGGAACTCACAGAGATTCCCCACCTCTGCCTCCTGAGTGCTGGGCTTAAAGGCGTGCGCCGCCGCCACCACCACCTGGCTCTTTGCTTATTCTTGAACACACTTAGCAGGCTCTTTTCATTTGTAACTGTACTTGCTGTTCTTTCTGGTCAGATAATTTATTGTCTTTTCCTAGATCCATCAAGAAATAAGTGATCTTATGAGGTGCCAGATGCAGGACCCTGAATCTGGAAATGTACTAAAAGCTGGAAATACAAATAGCCTTAGTCTGTGGTAGAGGTATGATATAATAGGTCCTCAAAAAGTAACTGTTAACTTTTAAAACATTACAAACAATAAAGAAGTTGAAATTTTAAAAGTTTCAGTTTGCAATATAGTACAAATACAAAGAAATACCAATATGCTTACAAATTTAAGGAATGCCAACTTAATTATACACAAAAAAAGGTTTTGTTAACATTCCCCAGAGTGAACCAGGGAAGCAAACCTTAGGAGGTGCTCAGTATAGTCTCATTGTAAGTGAAGCCATGCATGACCACACCTGCTCAACACTGTAGGAAAGGTCTGTCGTTTTCATGCTGTGTTTAAAGAGCAGATTCCTTCAAAAAGAAATGGTTTGACTCCTCTCTGTTCTCCATAGAAACTTTTCTAAAAAGATGCTTAATGAAATCTAGATCAAATTACAAGGTGAGTCTTAGGTTGTACTTGAGTGTATTGTGTCCCTGCTGTATGAAGAGGTGTACAGCTCTTGGTTTCTTCTTCTGGTTTTAAGAATGAATTGAGAAAGGAGTAACAGGAGGAATTAGCTACAGTTGGTATAGTGGTAATATGCATCAGTGGTAACTACAAGTTAGTACAAACATCATCAGTTATTCTTTTAGCCAGCAAGAGTGAAGAGATAACAGACTGTCAGATTTACATCAGATGATCTGAAGACCCTCCTTACTTCTGAACCACAAGGAAGAATTGCTAATGATTTTCCACAGGGCAACTTTTCCTCAGCAATGAGGCTAAAAATGGCCACAAAGAGGCCGGGAGATTGCAGAGTACATCACCTGGGCAATGGGATTAGTTGCAGGTGTTCTTTACTAAAGGCGGTCTCTGAGTTCTTACCATTTGCTTTATGAATACTTATGGCAAACTTTTCGTGTTCCCCCACTTTCTGTTCACGTTTTATATGTGAGGAGCACTCTCCAGGGACCAGTACTTCATGAAAGAGAATTTGGAGAGGTTATTGGAATAAAATATGAATTCTGGTAAGAAATTCATAAGGAACATTTCCATATCTTTCTGGATAAGGAAGACTTTATCATCTGTTAAATGATGGTATGAAATAATATTTTTGGTTTTTAATCCTAGACTTGGAGTGGAAAATTATCTATGTGGGCTCTGCAGAAAGTGAAGAATACGATCAAGTTTTAGACTCTGTTTTAGTGGGCCCCGTTCCTGCAGGAAGGCATATGTTTGTTTTTCAGGTAAGATTAATCTTAAAATATGCATGCCAAATATATTTCTATTGGACTAAATATTCCCAGAGCTTTTATCCTTTTTGTGTTGGGTAATTTACTTCATCTCCTTCCACTTGTAGTCTGATCTGTCATTTCAGGCAGTGTCTGTCTGCCATAAAGGAGTGGTACTTGAGTCTGTGTACAGAGGTAGTAGTGTCTTGAGTTTCAGGAACTAGACAGAGCACAGTACACCATTAACTGTATCATGACACAAAAGGTTGGTTTTGGTTTTGTCCTGTGGAACAGTTTTTCAAGATGAAAGCATCCCCAAACGTGTATTCAGATGGTGTGCTGGTTAGTAATACGCATCTGCTGATGTAATGTCAACAACCTCACTTTGGCAGTCAGTAAGCACAAGGCTAAGACATGTTAGCAAATGGAGGTGTGTGACTTGAGCCATTGGGATCAGAGTCTGGTGCCTCACTGAAGCTGCTTCTCTAGGGTTTTACAGAGGACCGTTGTGACGCGTCCATACCCTGTTCGAACTTGGGAGTAGGGATTCTCTTAGTATAAAGCATGTTCTCGGACACCTCTGACATATTTAGGTCTGTGCTCAAGCTCCTGTGTAAATGTCTCCTGTGTAAGTATTATTTCTCCTACTTCATATTCAATTGCTATATAAAACTAGTGACTTTTTTTCAATTATCCATGCTTCTTAGAGGAAGCTATTTATAATACTGCAAGAAGTAATGAGCTAGCTTTTAAATAACTATTAATTTTTGTTAGAAGTATTTCCGCCTAACCGAGTCTCGCTGCAGGCAGAATCCAGGAGAAAATTCTACTTCCTCTCCCTGACCTCTATTTCTCCCTTCACAGACAGGACAATTTCAATGAATACTGGCTTTGAAGAAATCCATTAGAAAGGGACAAGGAGTTGCTTAAGAGCACACTGTAGAGAAGTTGCCTCTTAGACACATAACTGAGGAACTGGGACTAAGTAATGGCTTGCTGTTAGCAAACCCCAAATAATTTAGTGTATATAAACAAATGGCAAAGAAAGACTCAACTACAATAATTGAAAGGCTGTAACACTTTCATTTGAAGTGCCATTAAACTGGATTGTGTGTGTGCATAACCTCGCCAAAGCCATAGCAACACAGAGGGCCTAAAGAGGCCCTGCAGTTGCAGGCAGGCCTGATGCTTCTGCTTACACAGACATGTGACCCCACTGATGACCCACCTCCTAAGAATGCTAGAAGGAATAAGGCAACTAGCAAACTACTGACAAAACTTGCTACATCTGTAATTAACGAAGACTATTATTTTATTCTCATTATATAAGGAGGCAGGATTTCTTTGGACACATGGGGACTACATACTGTACTGATAATTCACGATGTAGTCAGTAAAAGAAGCTCAGCTTAATGTATAGTCATATATTCCCTTTGTATTGCTGGTTTTGGAGTGAGCCTTTGGGAATCTTTTGTGTTTATGTTAAGAATACTTCTAAGCTTTTGGCTTGCCATGGTGCTGTGAGGAAAATCTCATAGCAGTATGTAGCTTTTGTTGGTATCAGTGTGAATGTTGCCAAAAGGAACAGAAAGCACAGTGATTTAGGTCATGTGTTAGCCTATGCAATTTCCAAAATCTGACAATTATTAACAAAAAGAAACTAAGCTACACGTTTTGTTTGTGTTATGAGCAAACTGTCCTATTTTCTTGGCCTGCTGTTTTCTTCTGAGTGGGTCTAAGACCAGCAGGGAGATATCCAGACATCTGCCCATTATTAGCAGGATTGGGTCAACAAAAGTGGTCCCCATCACTTCTCTATCCTTAATGACCTGAGAGGTATGCACATTTCTTGACCCAAATTTGCTCAAGCTGAATCCTCTGGCAATCATGTTTTTAAACACAGACACAGCTACAACTAATTTGCTAGGTGGTAGGAACATTACTGAACTCTTTATATTCACTCATTTCCAGGTATATGAGAATCCCTTTGGATACTCTGAAAGTAACCCCGAGATGCATAAGATTTGCAGGACAAAGGGTATATTCTACAGGAGAAGGTTTATGTCCCTACCCTTGGTGTCTGTCCAAAGGGATCATAAACCCTATCAGGATGGGAACCGAGTAATGAGAAAATTCTTAAATGAAAAATTCTTGTAGCTGCATTTAGATAGTTAAGACATATATTGAGAGATTTGTGCCAAGTAACATAAACACACAAAAAGGGAAGCTGCTATGTTCTGAGTCAGAAAGGACTTTGCTTGGAAAATGGGTTTGATGAAGATATCAAGAAATAAATTCAGGAGGTGGTGGAGGAAGGAACTTTACAGCCAAGGGTACTGTTTGAGGCACAGAGGCATGAAAGATTTCCAGCACATCTTATAGAACTTGTATTACTCATACACACACACTGGTGAGAATTACATAGTGTGAAGAGCCTTATAAATGGAATTGAAGATGTTTATCTCCTAGAGGAGGAACTAAAGCATCTAAGATTTCAAGTATCTAAGGGACAGAAACAGCTCCATGGTTAAATGGCAGCAATATAAACAACAGGCTGGAGCTGAGACACGGTAGAAAGCTTAGCGGTGTTCTGCAGAAGAGATAAAGGTGAACACCAGACTTTAGAAATGAGAGGCCGAGAGTGACAAGGTAAGAGAGGAAGAGAAGCTGAAGGTGACTGAGATTTCTAGTCTCCATGAATGTTTATGGCTTCTAGTGTCGGCTACGTGTGTGTGTGTGTGTGTGTGTATTATAAACAGTCTTAAGTTTCCAAGCTAAAGTATTTACAGAAGTGTTCACATGCAGAGGATGTCCCCGGTGCTGGAAAACAGTAAACTATTATGCTAGAGTTTCACCTGTTCATCACACAGAATGGCTGTGTCAGGTGGTACTCAGAGGCCTCAGCCATAACTGTGTCTTACTAGTTTGTGGTTCTTTCCATCAAGTCGGTCTCAGCCCAGGTCTTGCTCACTACTGTGGACATGGCCCCAGCCTTTCCTGGTATTTTTAGTCTTCTAGTTCTATTGTTTCACTTCCTTTCATTCCTCAAGGTTTACCATGATTCAAATGTGGTCTTTGGTATCGTCTGCCTAAACAGTCTTGGCCTGCACTGACTTTGCAATGTCTGTGGCTCCAACAGTACACTAGATTTATAGTCCAACAAAGTGACTATTTACAATATGATTTTCATTCTTTCAATCTTGCTGTATAGTTTTTAAGATCCAGGGTCAGTTTTATTCACTATTTATATTTACCGCTTATTTAGCTGTACTAGGGATTGAACTGAGTTGTCAGTTTTACATAGTTTACTACTGAAGTCTTTGCAAAAGGTGGCAAAGAACCTAGGTGTCTCAGATAGAAGATGGAAGCTGATAGCATAAACATTTATTGGAATAAGTTCTGTGAAACTAATTTGGCACATAACTTGGGACTGAAATTAAGACTGCAAAAGGTTAGGATCACTACAATGATTGATTATAAACAATGGATATTATGTAATTAATCACCATACAGTAAAATCAGGATTATTTCCTTCTTTTTTTTTTTTTTTTTTTTTTCCCCCTGGATCTCCCTTTGTAGACCAGGCTGGCCTCGAACTCACAGAGATCCGCCTGCCTCTGCCTCCTGAGTGCTGGGATTAAAGGCATGTGCCACCACTGCCTGGCCCCAATTATTTCCTTTTTTATCGATAATTATACTTGTAAGTACTGAGGGTAACCAGGACTAATACAGAGAAATGGGAACCTTATTTCCTAGGTGTAAGCCAATTCCCACCAAATAACATTTGGTGGGTATGGTGAGTGTGGTGGTGCTCACCTGAAATTCTAGCACTCAGGAGGCAGAGCAAAAGAATTGCATAAATTTGAGGCCAGCCTGGGTTGAACAATAACAGGCCAGCCAGGGCTATATAGCAGGACTCTGCCTCTAAAAGCCAAAAATAAATAAATTAATTAATTAATAAAAACCATTTCTCCCACTAATGTGATTTCAAGTAGTGCTACAGTAATTGAAACTCGTTCACTGTACCTGCCACTAACAGCCTTTTTATGTGTTTCTTATTAAATTATTCTAGGCTGATGCACCGAATCCAGGGCTCATTCCAGATGCAGACGCAGTGGGGGTAACAGTTGTGCTAATTACTTGCACCTATCGAGGTCAAGAATTTATTAGAGTTGGCTACTATGTAAATAATGAATATACTGAAACAGAATTAAGGGAAAATCCACCAGTAAAACCAGATTTTTCTAAGGTAATTTTCTCACTATTCTTTTTTAATTACTTGTACTATCTAGTTTTCAGGGGGTTGCTATTTCATTCTGCACTATGAATGTGGCCTTAAAGCAAATTTGAAGTTTTGTAGCACTTGAACAAACTAATCACTGCTCCATTTGCATGGATGACCTCACTTCTGCCTCTCCAGGTACTAATGTTAGGTGGGTACCTTGAGTCTCAGATGGTTTAGCTTCCTGCAAAGAGCAGGCCTTTATCACCATTAGGTATTTCATTTCAACCTTGAGGACATGTAATCTCCTATTTCTGTAGTGAAGTGATTAAAATATTTTTGCCTATAACTATTCCTAAAATCGTGGCAAAAAGATGGATGTGGTTTTGTTGTTCATTTCTTTGCGATGGCTTTGAGACAGGGTTTTCTGTTGTAACCCAAGCTGACCTTGAACTGTGGCACTCTTCCTTCCTCACTTGTCCAGGCTTTAGGATTATAGTTGTCACCACGCCCAATGTGTGCTTGTTTTTATTAATATTTAAATATCTGTATATGTGATGCTACCTGCTATCCTTAGAGGCTGAATTAAAGGTGTCAAATATTTCTGATAATGACAACTTAAATTCTGAGAAATCAAAATCTGATTCAGTAGTCTTAAAAACACATAGTATCTTAGGGTTTTTTCCCACTGGGAACAATTAATGGGTTTAGTTTGGTGTTTTTTGTTTTTTGTTTTTTGAAATAAGCTTACTGTGGTACTCTCTATGGCAGACTTACCACGAACTAGAGTTCTGCCTTCTGCCAGTGGGGTGGTATGTATGCCTTCTCTAGTTTGGAGACATCCTGTTGAGCCAAGGTTCCTCCTGGTAGAACCTTTGTATAGCAGTGAAAGAAACTAGAATACTGTTTCTAAAAATGAGTTTTAATAAATCACAGTTAAGATCCCAGTAATTAGAGGTTCTTTTTGAGGAAAACTGTTCAAGTCTTTGATTTTGTGTTTTATTTCTTGGTGCTTAGGATTGAACCTAGGGACTTGAGCAGGGTACTTCCTTTGCAATGAGCTATGTTCCCAGCCTGAAAACACTTTAGGCTGAAGACATACTTATTTAACTAAACACATCCTCTAAAGGGTATACAGAAGTACCCCCTTATTCTTTAGGAAGCAGAAGTATAAAAGCAAGGTACTTTTTGGAGGGTGCAAGATCTAGATGGAGTTTTTCCCCCTACCTTATTTCCAAGGGCTAATAGTTCTTTAGCTATTCGCTATTGTAGTCCTTGCTTATTATTTTTAGTGTTTCACTTGCTGATACCTTTGCATATGAATTTAGTCCTTTAAAAGGACCAGCAGAACCAGTCAGTTTGCATATGGTAATCTAACTTTCCTGGTGCTCACCATTTAAATGTTTCTCTTTATAGCTTCAAAGAAATATTTTGGCATCTAATCCCAGAGTCACAAGGTTCCACATTAACTGGGAAGATAACACAGAAAAACTGGAAGATGCAGAGAGCAGTAGTAACCCAAATCTACAGTCCCTCCTTTCAACAGATGCATTACCTTCAGCATCAAAGGGATGGTCCACGTCAGAAAACTCACTGAATGTCATGTTAGAATCCCACATGGACTGCATGTGACCACGTGCCATCCCATTAGTACAGATTAAGCTATTAAAAACAGAACTATTTCCCTGAAGTTCCGTAAGTACATAGTCAAGGTGAAATGTGAAGAATTTGTTTAAAAACATCCTGTAGAAAGTTTATAAGAAAACCAGTATTTGAGCAAATTGTGGAATATAAATACAACTATTTTTAAGTACTTTTTTTCTCTAATGTGTTATTTTATTTGTTCATGAAACTAATCTGGTTAAAGTATATATATTATTTTCTTCTCCTTTATATGTAATTAAAGCACTTATAAAAAAAAGTTATCAATTATTAGACCAGGTTGTGAAGGTGTTTTAGCCTCTTGGACAATAATACTTTTTACTAGCCTTTAAAAGAACAAAGTTTACTTCAACTAAAATGCTTTTTCCTGTGAAGACAGTGTCCTTTTAATTTAAGGAGCAAACTTCCATTCTGCAGTGAAAAAGATGTCTTTAAAAAGGGAATCTGAAATCAACTACATCCCTCGAAGGTTTCTCTAGGCCATCCCAGTGCATCTTGTGGCTACCACCACAGCTTGTGTTACACTGGACTTCTGGTTTCTGTGTAATAAATGTGGCTGCCTTTGAGGTCCCTCTGACTACGGTTTATGCTTCCCTACTTCTAAAACTGAGAAACCACCATCACAAATCATTGTTGTCCAGAGATTTCAACACGGCGAGAGCAAATGCAAGGTCTACAGTGTAGGGTTAGCTCACAGTAGCTCAGATCTGCATTCAGTTTACAGAAACTCGGGTTGTGCTGTTGGCACTGCTGCTCTAGGGAGGTAATTTAGAAAGGTTATAGGCTGGCTACTTCCCCAATACCCCATCGCCTCTGGTTCTCATTACAGTGATAAGATCAGGGTATATCTGTAGTTGACATGTTCTAGACAGCTTTTCCAAACAATTTTTTTGAAGAGCAATTTTAGAAAGAAATTTATCAAATAAATGGGCCAAAAGCTTATTTTCTTTAATGAGAAATAGGTACCTCCTCAAGGTTTTGCTCCATTAAATTTACAGTAGAATATTTTCATTTGACTCTTGCTGATGATAAGCAGGATAGCCATAGGATGCAAGTTATGCAGTGCCTTCACATCTAAGCTTTTATACTGCACTTTTAAAAGCATTTTGAGGAAAGGAAAAGGCATTTGTTTAAATACAGATTCTTAAGTTGTATATATTTCTTGCTATTTTAAAAGGTGAATTTGTGAAACAAAGTCTTGTTAAATGTTGAACTTTGAAATTTAATACTCCAGATTATTTCAGTATTGTCCATAACCCAGTTGATAGATTTTAAAAAATAAAATACTTCTGACAACTAAAAGTATTTGAAAAGAAAAATCTCATTTTTGTCTAACTGCAATTAGGAGAAAATGTTAAAACAAGAATTCAGTGATCAACACAGAGGAATAAGTTTGTTAGAAATAAAACATATAAACTAAAATCAAGGAAAGCAATTCACTGGAGTATTTATTCTGATTATAAAAACCACTTTGCAATGACATTTTATGTTTAGGTTTTTATATCAATTTTTAAATGTTGAGCCCATTGTCAGAAAAGTTTGAGACATAAAACTATTGCCTTTTATTATTTTAAATGCTACTACTTCATAGAATTTAAAGATAAAAAATGATTAATAACAGAACTATTTAAATTAAGAATTAAGAAATGAGCATGCAGGGATTTCCCTCCTGTTTATCCTCATTTACAGACATTATGTCTGAATTATAGCTAAAAGGCTTAGATACTGTCCCTCTACCCCCTTTTTTATTGTTTTGTTTTTTGAGATAGCATCTGCCCTGGATGTCCTGAACCTACTTTGTAGATCAGGCTGGCCTTCAACTCAAGAGATCTGAGTGTAAGGATCAAAGATGTATGCCACCACACCCAGCACCATTTACTCTTTTTTATTTGAGTAAATAAATGTCTGGTGAACACACACACACACACTCCCCATTTATGCTACTCAAGAGCTAGCTGAGTAGGTTGTAAAGGTATCATTTGAGTTAAGGAAACACTCCAGGAACTGAGGAGGCATGCATGCATTTGCTCATTCATAACCTTGTCTGATCCTTAACTTTCTGTTACTATTTTACTCTATAGTTTTAGGGTCTAGTTTTACTAAGAAAGTCTATGGGGTGCTGTCAACATGGCTCAGCAGGTAAAGGTGCTTGCTTTCAAGCCTGACTACTTGAATTCAATACCCAGGATTCACATGGTGAAAGGAGAAAACTAACTCCCACAAGTTGTTCTCTAACCTGCATATATGCACACACACAAAATAAAGAAATGAAAGCTAATACAAAATTTAAAGAAACAAAAGACTATGGCATGGTTTTATACCACAATCCATAGTGATATAGTATGACCCTGCAACACATGCAAACATTTATGTTACTATGTGCAGCCTGATTCTAATGGATTGCAAAAGAACGATGAAAGGCTATTGACATCTTTGGAGTGTGCAAAAAGTAGCAATAAGTTTCTACAATTGTAAAGTCTTTACTAATCTTTTTTCTCACATTTGGATTATGATATTGACATTTAAAACATGGGAAAAGTACTAATTCACTTTACATTATCATTAACACTGTAAAGCCATAGCCATTTACTGTACTACTTCCTCAGTGTTAACAGTCTGACATTAATAGTTGCCTGCAAGATAGCATGGGCTTGTTTCTTGACACTCCTCATAATTGCTTAGGAATCATTTCATGTAATTACTCACACAGTATCTTGTTGATTTTAGCATGTAGAACACACTAGGCCAGAAGGATTTCAAAATGTATAGCAGTGCTCTGGATACCCACCCCTTCTCTGTGGTATTCTCCATTCATAGATGCCATCTTACCAGCAGTTATTAATACAGTGTTTAAAGTCTTTAGATGGGACAACTGGGTGCCTTCTTTTATGATAAACTTTGTATGTGTCTCATAAGAACTCTTGAAGAGACTACAGAAATGAGGCTATCTTAACATGTAACAAACAACATCTATAAAGTATGTGAAACCAAAGCCCTATTTTTAGAAGAACAAGAGAAACAATCAAAGTTATAAAAATAGAAAACATTGACACATTTTAAAAATAATTTCCCCTAAATTTCCTGTTACTTTATAACAAGATCTTGACAGTCTATCTGTAAACGCTCTTAAATGTACTTGAAGTATTATTACCATATACGGACAAAATCTCTTAGAATATATATGAACATATGCTTTCTAAACACACAAATCTCCTAAGAGGTGTCGTTAGGAGCCACTGTTGCTAGATGTTATCTACTTACTTTGTAAAATAAATTGCCCTACTTTGATGTTCTGCTTGGTAGATCTTTATAAAATGACATCTTTACATTTTCCTACATAAAACTGAATTTTAGGGGACATGGGCCTTCTTGAAATGTTTTCTTCATAGTACAAAAGGAAGTTACATTTCCTTCAGTTTTTGGCAGTTTTAACTACTTGAAGTGAATCTTACAACAGGTACTTTGTCATAAGAAAAGAATTGTGTTAGGTTCTGGGTTAATGGTATGTTAATTTAGTTAACACTGTCACATACAGTACCTGCACTAGTAGATCCAATTCCTGTGGTCAGTACGGACCTTGGTGTAATCTTTGCTGCATATTTGAGGAATTGTGATTTACCTGTGCCAGGATCCCCAACCAATAAAAGATGAGATTCACCTAGAAAAAATAATGTGTAAAGGTCAAAATTCTTAAAAGATCTACGAACGCCATGTAACTAATAAAAAAGAAAGTGGCCCATATGAAATGCCAACACATTTTATATGGCATTTTGATAAACTTTATGCCAAGCTCTTCAGGAAGGAGTTAATGAGAAAATCCTTAGAAAAGTTAGCTGTCACAAATACAGCAATTTTTGATTACTGAATGTGACACTGAAAAATTTAAGTATTTTAACAGTGTGTGCTATTTCCAGATGCTTAGGCCCATGTTTAACATTTTTAAAATCCTTGACTTAGAACAACTTTCTGAGTTTTACCTATTTTTAAATCCAAACTACTGTGATTAAAGCTATCCATATAAGTCATACAAGGTTTTCTATTTTTAAGTACTTCTAAGTGTTGGGGATTTTATAAGTGCCTTTCTATGTATCAAATCATGATTATATTAACTAAATAAAAACATTTTCCTTTTTGTAAGTTTTCATAGCTTAGTGAAGTATCTACCTTAAAATGAGTAAGCACTCAATTTTCACATTTAACATAAGTGGACATGCCTGTCCTATGGTAGATACTTTTCCTGGACAAACAAGTTTCTTTAGTAATAAGTATTTTCTAAATATATTAATAAGAAACCATTATTTCAGCTCAACATTTAGCAAAGTGCCTTGCAGATAACAGATGGTCAGAATATGCAATTTCTAAAATGCTTCTGCTTATTCGCTCCTGTGCTCTGCAGTCGTGGAGTTCCGCTGACGACCTGGCTTAGTCTTTGGTTAACTCTGGTCACTGACAGCCCTGTGTGTGTGCCGTGCCTGCTGCACAGGAGCTTTCTGCCGTCAGTGTTGCACACTTGGAGGAGTGAGTCTCTGCTTGAATGTGACCTACAGCAGCAACTCCTGGCAGATGGCTCATCTGCTGTCTACCAGCAGGAGAGTCAGCAGGCAGGGCTGGAGCAGTCGACAGTCACAGATGGAGGCCAACCTGGAGACGTTAAGACACACCATTTCTAATTCTCTCTCTGTCTCTCTCTCTGAGACAAGGGAGATAATTTTGTGTACCTTTACAGGCTTGTAGTATATAACCACTGAAAAATTTAGTGATTTCTTTCATCTTTCTGGAATTAGAGAGTGTAGCTTCTGATAAATATATAGACTATATGAAAAATCCAGTTATGAGGAACTACAAGCAGTTTTTAAAATTAATTCTTTAAGTTATCATACAAAGTATTGTACTTCACTTTGGTATTTTCAAACATATGCATCATTTATAACTCATGCCCCTACCCTCCAACAAGCAGTTTTTGTTCAAGAACGAAAGGGTCTGTCTTCCCCTCTGTGTTAGTATTTCTCAAAATGTGCCAGTAGGTACTGACCTCTGACCCTTGTTCCTGTAGCATCAGTTCTTTGAATTCCACCAGCCAGCACCATGGCCACAGCGAGCTTGACTAGATACATCCCAAACACTTGAGGACACAAGCTGGCCAGTATTTCATTCCTCCCTGGGAAGCGAAAAAGACCAGAAGTTACAGATAAACTCGAACTGAAATCTCCCTATCCTGTGGTCATTTTCGTATAAACATACTCTTTGTGCCATTCTCAACTGACAAAGGAGGCCAAGTTAAATGAGTAAAGAGCAAGAGTAGCATTGGCTTTTTTTTTTGAGATGGTCCTGCAAAGTAGCCAAAGCTGATTTCAAATGCACAATCCTCCTGCCTCAGTCTCCCAAGTGTTAGGATTATAGGTATATGCTGCCATATCCCACTAACCTTGTTTAGGTTCTAAATTTAGTGCCATGACAAGAGTGTGTCACCCTCCTCCCCCAATGATACCTACTCAAGTTTCTATAAATTTGTCATAAAAAAGTTTCCTTTTCTCTTTCAACTTTTAGCTACCAAGCCTTATCTCTTAACCTAACGCAGTCATGTGTTCTCTGGTAATATCACTAAAATTATCCCACTCCTTAGAAGGAAATATTCAGTCTCAGAAATGAGGCATTATAATAACCAGTAACTTAAAGAGGTAAGCTGGAGCTTGTGGGGCTTCTGAAAGTACAAGAGAAAGAAGGAAAGCTAATCCACCTTGCAAGTTGACTTGGCATTTGTTCTGATTGTTTGGAAAATTGTTTTATTTGGAATAAGTTATTATGGTCTCAGCATAATATGGTCTCATTGCAAACTATACCCCCAGTCAGCAATCCAAGTTGAAGACTTGAAGTCTTCAACGACATCTGGGAATCATTTTAGCATATTGATAAATAAAGAATTTCATCCGGTCACTGGTCTGATCAGACTACAAGATTCTAATGAGTCTTCCCCAAGCCTTGCCATGATTGATAGTCCCATATACAAAGGCTACTGTTTGAAATGAATCAGAATAGTTTTTGGTTTGGAGAACCCATCCGGTAATGGCTCAATATTGACTCAGTGGTAAGTAATCAATGGTGATGAGCCCAGAACAACAGGAATAGCAAAGAAAAGGAGTCCTTCAATGAAAAAGAAGGAAGATGCAGTAAGTCTAGGAAGCACATTAACTACCAGAGGGAATCTTTTCCTTCTGGATAGAAAACCTAGAAAAAAAAGGTCAGGGCTCTAAGGCAAGGAGACTTGAGATTCTGACTAAAATCCAAGGGTTACACATCAAAACAGAAGGGACCCAAGAAACATGTTTAAGAGTAGGCAAGCTAAGCCAAAACTCACATGCCAGCAGAAGTCATAACCACAATGGTAATGGGTACAGGCTCTTTCAGCCTGGACACAGGTCCCAGTGTTGACTGCAGGGACACCCCAATAGTAAATACCACATTATCTAGCCACACACAGGTCCCAGCCCTTGTCTTGGGTGAGAGCCTCAACTTTGCTGCCTCCATTTCTACAGCTTGATCGTGGAACACAATGCATTCAGTCCCTTCTAAATTTCTAGTTTTAGACCATGTTCTTAGGGTGTCTCTGGCCAAGTTTCCTACTTAAATGTCATGGCCCTCAGTTACCTTACAGAAAACCTTTTTGGTATAATTGAACCAGCACAGTATGAGTTCAAATGGCCCTAGGGAACCAAGTACTATGTTTGGGGTTCTGTCTAGCACCTAAGTACCAGGCTCCCTGCAGATCAGAACAAAGCCACTTGGGGCAGCCTAGTCAGTGCCCACAGTTTCAAGAAGCAAGTCAAACCCAAGAGGAGCAGCACTGGGCTGCAGAGGAAAGGTGCCCCTTGGATATAGCGTCTCTTCTCCACTCCAGTAAGACACAGACATACGACTTCACAGTGGTCAAACACAGCACACCAGTATCTAGGGAAGTAAGAAGGGCTGACTCACACTAGGAAGTGTGGCCCGATTTTCAGTGTCTTCCTAACTACTATACGCACTTTGTCCTTTATTGGACAAGTGAAATGGGTTACACAGCTACCGATTCCTAATTACAAGACAGATCTTCAATATCTAGGGAATATCCAGGGAGGAACATGATGTAATGAAGGCAGATGAGCTCTGGCACGGGAATGAACATGGTCCAAAGAAGCATTACACATTCTATAAGGACCTGTTCAGTCAAACGGCACTTAAGTGCTTGCTTAGTAAAGCCACAATGTAGAGACCTTTGGGCCCTTTTCTATCCTCATCACAAAGATTACACATGGAAGATTTAAAAAGATCCTACAAAATAGAGGCAAACTGCCCCTCTAGACAAATGGAAGCCTTATTTTTCTAAATAAGTGTGGTTCAGCTTGTGACTTGAGAATAATATACATTAGATGGGAGGTAAATTTTTTTTTCTCAGGATACCTCCAAAGAAGAATGAAAACAAGATTTAATTCATGTTTTATACATGTGGTTTTTTTTCTAATAAAAAGCATGTTCTACAAACCCATGTAGGCTGTGATGTGTTATTTCATGTAATACTCATGTAAGCTCGGTCAGAATTACTGCTATGATGATAAATGTGTTGTGTGCATCATCTCCATCAGTCTTTTACACTTAACTCCCTATTTTAAAATCCTAAGCTAGACGCAAGCATGTGGGAGCTCACCGTCTAGACTGACAGCTAGGGAGCCTGCATGGGACTGACCTAGGCCTTGTATATGGGTGACAGTTGTGTAGCTTGGCCTATTTGTGGGGCCCCTGGCAGGGGGACCAGGATCTGCCCCTGGTGCGTGAGCTGGCTTTTTTTCTTTCTTTTTTAGCCCATTCCCTATGAAAGGATACCTCCTCAGCCTTGATTCAGCGGGGAGGGGCTTGGTCCTGCCTCAACTTGATAGGCCATGCTTTGTTGACTCCCATGGGAGGCCCTACTGTTTCTGAATAGTGGATGGGGGAGGGGGGAGAAACTGGCTGGTATGTAAAATAAAAAAATTTAATACAAAAAGTATCCCCAAATATTTAAAAGTAAAATCCTAAGCTAACACAGTGAGTTCAGTGAGTTATTTCAGAATATGCTAGAAATCAATATATTTAATACATAAAAACATGAAGACTGACCTTAGTTGAATCCCCAGCATCCACGTAAAAAGCTGGGCATGGTGACAGATGCTTGTGATCCCAGTAGAGGGGATGCAGAGCAAGTGGTGACTGGGGCTCACTGACCAGCGAGTCTCTGAGCCTTCTACCTGAGTCAGGGAACTTGGTGGAGGAGGCCGGCAGACACACAGGTGATGGTTCTTGAGGAATAACACAGATTGACCTCTGGCTTTCACATGCATACACAGTCGTGCTCACAGAATTGCAGAGACAACACCACACACAACAAATAAAATCTCAATGCCAGAAATGGGCTTGAGTGGAAGACGGCTGTTAGAGAACTGACTAGTGACACCCTGTGAATAAAGCCACTGACCTGCACAACACATAAGCTGTCTGCAGATCATACCACATTTAACTACCGAGTTGAATGCCATCAATTACAACGAGCCTTATGCCCTTAGTCACAAACCTGCAAAGGGATCACTCTTATAGTGTTCCCAAAAGTCTTCAAATTCTTTTCGGACTTCCTCATCCATGACCATCCCTGAGGACTGCTCGTTATTCACTTGGACATAGTTGGATTTCAAGACAATCTCCACTTCACAGCGTACATCTCGCTGAAAGGGCTTCCACCGTTGCATTACCACCCCATAGATAGTGAGGTCATCCCCTAAGGAAAAGCACCACATGAGTCCAGTGGTCATGTCATGCATGCATGGTGGCTTGGCACTGGATCATTTGACAAAAGACCAGAACTTAGAAATAAGCTACCCACACACTCCTTTTTCCCCACCCCAAGTACGTACACTCATTCAGAAAGCAATTAGCAAGTTTAGGACAAAATACCCCAGATTCTCAACCCCGCAACAAGTAATTGTTTCTGAATAAAGTCAAAAGTCAGCATCTTTATGTTTTGAAATTTGCTATATAATAACCATACAATTATTAGCGCTTACTGGGAATAGTGTACTAGATGATTTATTTATCACTGTTCGTTGGGTGGGCGACGTTCTCAATTCTCTTAGAGACTGTAATCAGCCAGAAGTGAAACTGCATTAGCTTGGAACTGGGGAAGGAGACAGCCTTGTGCTGTTTGGCATGTACTTTCTCATGTGTTCACTTTCACTTTGTTAATATTTTACTCAGTCTCCTGCTTTTTTCAGTGAAGGAATGGACAATAATAAATCAATGGATACTGATTCTAACTTCAGAAAATAACAACCAACTTGCTCCTTCCTACCCGAGGAAAATCTATTCCTGGTAGGCAGATTATCACACGTGTTTTTATGATACAAAATGCCTTTCACTCTAAATCTCTGAGTAATAGGTAATCTGCAGAGCTTTTGATTTCCTGGAAAAGGGCGCCTTAGTGTTAACTTCGTAAAAATGGTGGTGCTAGTGCCCATACGACCAGGCACATTTCTAGCTAAATGCAACTTCCTGCCAAATGCAGACAAACACAGTAAATGTGTCTTTTACATATGTGTTTCTGAGAGTTTTCATAAGTGAATGCTTGATGCCTTTCAAAGTCAATCCGGAATAATGGCATTTTACTGTATTTCCTGTTAAATTTTTAGATGAAAATAACTGGAATACGTTTACATGAACATTTATCTGAAACATCCCCTTATTTTCTTCATTTATTGAGGTTTTCCCACATTCATGAAATGAAGAACTTTAACTTTAGATATAGTACCCATTATTGAATCAGACTTTAATAAACAGTGATTATGTGAAAAATGCAGAGTAATAGAGTGGCCAAGAGTAACAATCTCATTACTGTTCGATTGGATGTAGATCTTAGTGCCACTATTCTTGGGCAAAGTATCTGACTGAGTTTTCAATGAAAATTAGATCATAATATAAATATAAATATAAATATAAATATATATATATATATGCAATCTCAACTTAAGTATTAGCTATTATTATACTAAAATTACCTTGCATTTGCAAAGCACTTAAAAATACATAAGTGTTTTCATACACACCAGGATTTATCAAATGGCAGATTCATATGGTCATTGCAACTGTGAAGTTCACGGTAACAAAACATTCATTCAAAGTTCTCGTATTTTCCTATAGTTAATATGCAAACTATTCATGAAGCTACAGTTCTTCGACGTAAACACTGCAAGCCCTCTGTGTACCCCTCCCTTCTCCGGCAGCTTTAGTCCTGCAGACATCCCAGTCAGATCCATTCCTTTGATCTGTAGCACAATTGTCAGCATAGCAATCAACCTCGCTGCTCTGAGTGTGAATCCCGAAGGGCAAGGATTACATTATTTCTAACTTCTGATTTCTAAGGTTTTAGAAATTAGCTGTGGGCCATGAAACCAACAACTATCAACAGATTGCTTCCACCTTTATCATTATTGACGACACTGGAAAGAAATATAGCTTAAGATTCAGTGTAGATGTAATTCGGTTTCAATGAACTACATGGAAACATTGTTCTCTACTAAAGAATATTCTTTTTCAAAATCAGCATCACCCTGTTGTGATGTCACCAGTACCAACAGAGAGAAACAGTTACTCCTTTTGTTAGGTACCAGTAAGATTTTGTAGTATGTGACAGTAGCATCTTGTGTCCTTCGTCCACCAACCACAAGCTCCCTTTGGAAGATGACACTTAAGCATGCTCCATTGAAGAGCGCACCGGGTCAGAAGTCAGTGATCTGGACCTATGCTCGGGTTCTGCTGCTTCATTCTTTGAACGATGCTAGGTAAGAAGTTGTCAAGTCATCAAGCAGCAGCCGCAGACTGCTAAGCCCCAGTTCAGCTTGTACCTCCCTCTTCTCTCCCCAAGCCCAACTCTTCACACGAGGAACACTAAAGCCCTCATCTTGTGGAAAATAAAAATAAGTGACTATTTAGAACCTCCTACACACACTACCAAAAGTTTGTTCTTGCTGGCTACATACAGTCCCAGCAATTGGTGGGGGAGGGGGAGACTGAAGACTACTCAAGCCCAAAAGTTAAAGACTAACCAAAGCAACACAAATATGCTGTCTCAAACACTACAAAGTCATTCCTTACCGGACTTACAACTGTCTACCAAGTCATCTTCCAGGATAACCTTCATAGATCGCGGAATACTTCCAACAGATAGCCTTTGGACCTAGCCAAAGAAAACACAGAAAGACAACACATGAGTGTGCTTAACCAGGTGCTCCGTATCCAAACTGCAGCAGCACTACTTGAAATTGGTTCCATTTCTCTGATAGTATCATATGATTTGATTCCGATAGGACTGAAGGCATTTTTCTGGAAAATTATGACTAATACCAGTTTAAGAATTCACTAATACTAGCTGGGCGTGGTGGCACGCTCCTTTAATTCCAGCATCTGGAAGACGAGGCAGGCAGATCTCTGTGAGTTCAAGGCAAGCCTGTCTACATAGTGAGTTCCAGGACAGCTGGGGCTACATAGTGAGACCCTGTCTTGGAAACCAACCAACCAACCAAAAAAGAATTCACTAACACTAGGGGCTGGAGGGATGTCTCGACAGTTACCAGCTCTTCCTGCACTTCCACCCACACGACCAGTGTCACAGTCACCTGCTACTCCAGCTCCATCGGATCCGCCACCCTCAGGCCTCTGTGGGCACCCACACACAGAGATCCATCCACATACACAAAAATAAAACTTAAAAAATAAGATTTCACTAGAGTAAAGCTAAAACACCAAATACGGAAAAACCTCTCTAGCGATAACCTACATTGTAGACAGTCAAAAATACATATTCAAACCAACTTAAACTGAGTGACAAAGTTACTTATTTAGCATTAGAGAGACATTTCTTTCATAATTTCTAGCCTGAACACCTGGAAAATCAACCGGTCCCTTGATTGCTCCTTAGTAACAGAACCCTGGCTTTATTCCACGTAGACATGACCTTGTAAATGGCTGTTTCCCAAGCTCCCTTGTACCTGGGTGTGGTCATAGGACTAAGTCCTGACCAATGAAATACAGGCAATCACAGGCTGACAAGACTTGATTAGGTGGTATGTGTATCCGACCATCCTTTTTCAGTTTTCTGGCTAGAACACTGAGATACGTGTCGTGAAATTGTAGCCACCATCCTAGACCATAAAGCACCACAGGAGTAGAAGCCATGTATCAAGATTGGTGGGAAAAGCTAGGCATGGTGGCACATTCCTGTAATCTCAATCTTAGCACTTGGTAAACTGAGGCAGGAGGATTATCATGAGTTTGAGGCCAGCCTGTGGCAGTGTGGTATGAAGTAAAAGAAAAGAAACTGACGTTTGCAATCATTTCCCCAAGAGTGGGCCTCATTTGCTCTGAAGCATTCTCATGTCTACTGAACAAAGGCTACCCTCTCTGGTAGCACAGCAAACATGGTCTCCAAAGGGAATGAGGCACTCTTGTCTTCACCTTTTTTGGGAATCTCATGAGGGAGGAGACTGTTCTTCTGGCCCGGCTGCCTCAGAACAGCACACAGAGCCACAGCCGGATACTATCAATTTATGGCCACATGTTACTTTCAACATTCTTTGTGGGGGTGGCACAGCTTTCAATGCCTCACTATTTGCAGTGACTGGTCTTGGGTCTCGTCACCACACACACTGTTCTGAGTCGGAGGCATGAACGGGTCAGGAAGGAGAAGCAGGGAGCAGGTACACTGGGAGTCCACAGTATAGTAAGGTTGACAACACCGTTTCTTTTTTTTTTTTTTTTTTTTTTTTTGGTTTTTCGAGACAGAGTTTCTCTGCGTAGCTTTGCGCCTTTCCTGGAGCTCACTTGGTAGCCCAGGCTGGCCTCGAACTCACAGAGATCCACCTGGCTCTGCCTCCCGAGTGCTGGGATTAAAGGCGTGCGCCACCACCGCCCGGCCCGACAACACCGTTTCTTAAAGGTCAGTTCATTGTAAAGAGACTGAACATACAGCGTATAAGCAGAATGAGTAGAGAATGGTCACGGGATGGGCAGAAGTTTGATTTGTAAGGGCCAGCTTTAAACAGCATTTCTCAGAATTTATTCCCACACATGGTGAGTTTCAGGTCAGCACAGGCTACCGAGTGAGACCTATCGAAATGGAACAATGGAAGGCTAAGAAAAGTGAAGTGTAAGGACTCCATATTGAGGAGCCTACATGTTGGCCTTGAGCTGCCTGTCTCCTTATTTACAGGGGAAAACAAACCTCTGTATTCAAGGAAGGGAAAATTAAGTTCCCCTTTATTTGTTAAACAGTGACCATACATGCTTTCTTAAAATTGAACCAAACCCCAAACTCTGTGCTTACCGATGCTTGGCAACCAGTTAAACTGACTGAACTGTCTCATATTTTTAAGGACAGCTAGTTTAGAATACTTGATATAAACTTTTTCTTTCTTTCTTTTCTTTTTTTTTTTTTTTTGGAGCTGATGACCGAACCCAGGGCCTTGCACTTGCTAGGCAAGCGCTCTACCACTGAGCTAAATCCCCAACCCCGATATAAACTCTTTTTGTTCATTTATTTTATTTACTTTTACTTTGCGTGTATGGGTGTTTGGCAATGCCTGCAGAGGCCAGAAGAGGGAGTGGGATCATCTGGAAGTGGAGATGCACACAGCCACTATGTGGGTGCTGCTAACGGAACCCAGGTCCTCTCTGCAAGAGCAGCAACCAGTGCTCTTAACCACAGAGCCATCTCTCTGGCCCCGATGTTTACTTTTAAATTTTAACATTATCAAGTGGTTCTAAAATCTCATCCGTGCTCTAAAAGAATGGTTATTTCATGGTTTCTAAAACATACATTCTAATATATGTTGGACAATTTCGACTTTGATCTTCCCCAAAGTGAAGGTGCAGGGTAATCTGTTTCTATTCTGTATTCTCCAATCACAGCCATTTGACTCTGGTAGAAAACAACACCTTCAAATTTGTTATTTTTTCTTGTTGATCATTTACCTGCTCCTGAATTTTGATTTCCTGGTAATCCCGACATCTGGCTGGAGATGAAGACAGGTCTGAGAGACAAGTGAACTTTGAGGAATCACAGCTCTCTGCGCTTGGACATGAAGATGGGCGACAGAAAGTGTAATACTGCTCGAAGTCCGCCTGCACCACAAACACATGCTTGCATTTGTTACACATGTAATCACGCTCGTACTCCAGGACCTTCACCAGACTTGTTCGAATCACTGTCCCAGTGACCGATAAAAAGTGTCCCACATCCTTGGTTTTAGGGATGTGTTCCCTTACCAGTTCAGGACAAACAGGTAAACCTAATGGAAAAAAGAACATCATCAACTTAGACATTGATAACTGACTCTGCAGAATGTTAGGTCTTTCCCAGAAAATCTGAAAATAACATAATTTCAGGGGGAAATATTTATGTCTTTTTTATTTTGGTTTCTTGAGACAGGGTTTCTCTGTGTAGCTTTGTGCCTTTCCTGGAACTCACTCTGTAGCCCAGGCTGGCCTTGAACTCACAAAGATCCACCTGGCTCTGCCTTCCGAGTGCTGGGATTAAAGGCATGCACCACCACTGTCCAGCCTTATGTCTTATTTTTAACTTTACTGTGTGTGGGTGTGTAGGTACACACGTGTGGAAACCAGATGTTCAGTGTGTGCCTGAATTATTTCTCCACATTGGATTTGGAACTGTGCCTCTCACGGAACTTGGAATTCACCAGTTCCATGAGAATGGCTGGCCAGCAGGCCCCAGTGACTCTCCTGTCTCTGCCTCTGCTTCTGGGGTGCTGGGATGACAGGTGCTCATCACCACACCTGGCATTATACGTGAATGCTAAGGATCCAAACTCAGGTCTTCAGGGTTGTATGGCAAACACTTGACCATGTTTGTGTCTTACTTTAGAAAATCAGACCATCAACCCAATTAAGAATTTTAGACAACAGAAATCAATGGACTCTTTTTGAAAGCACATCTCTAGAGGCTACAAGCAGGACTAAGAAAGAATTGGGCTCTCACAAGAGAGCTCTCAGTAGCCTCTAAATATACAACTAACCACACTTAGTGGACAAAATGCTGTCACCTGTAGCCCATGTAATCAATTAATTTAGTCGTCACTAAATAAATCAAAAGCATGTACTCAACAACCATGTACTGAGTTCCTAATACACAATGCTCATCATCAGATATAAAAAGTTTTATAAAAGAGTTCTGGAGATCACTGGGCAGGATCTTTTCTAATTCACACATTACCAATGTTTTATTGTTAGTCATCACAAAAGCTCCTCAATCTGCTTTAGATAACTTTATACACACAAAGAAATACACAGACACAGTACACTGATGTCTCCATAGTCTCTCCTTCCCTGTTGTTGGCAGGGCAAGTGTCTCATGCACAGATGACAATCATCGTTATGTGCCGTATAGAAGAGATGCACTTTAAAAAAACACCAGTTAGTTTTAAAATTCTTTTTAGATTTATTTATTTGTGGTGTATGTGTGTGTGCATGTGTGGGCACACATGCCAGTGTGCCTGTGGATATAAGAGGACAAATTTGGGGATTCAGTTCTCTCCTATCATCTGAGTTTCAGGCATCAAAGTCAGGGTGTCAACCTTGGCAGCAAGCACATTTACCTGCTCAGCCATCTTGCCTGGCCCCCAAATAACAATTATTTCTTAATGTTCTGAGTCCCATATGTGTTTCATTTTATTCACATCTTCCCCAAATATTACATGCCAACAACATCTCCTCATGATTTACCTGATATCCTGGCGTGAAGATTCTGCTTCATAGAAAACCCCTCAGGCTCAGGAAGGGACTGCAGAATTGTCAAGGCTGACCTTCGAAGCGCGCTGTCAAAAACCGTTAGGACTTCGTTGGGGAACACCGTGAAATACTCTCCAATTTCCATGTTGGTCTCGAAAAGGGTCATAGCATTAACCACCACTGGGTAGTGTGCATCCTCATCCTCTTCCCTCAGGATCAGAAGAATATCATTCTTATGGTACTCTGAAACATAGGACTCGAACACTTGACCCACCAGTGTGACCTGGTCACTATTCATCTTGAATCTAGGTTACAAAAGAGAAAGAAAGGATGGGGTATTATACCTTTGCTACTCAAGCTGTGCACACAATTTAACAAAGAGACCCTTGGCTTATAAACCATCCCTGCTTTCGGTTACACGGCACTCACAAAAGAGTATCTGAATCCAATCTTACCTGTAGATGAGTCAGCCATTACAGTTACGTAAAACGTGTGCCTCAAAAACCAGCGACATTGGGGCTAGAGAGGAGGCTGGGCAGGGGAAGGTGCTTTCAGCAGGAGTCTTATGACCCCGGTTTGGATGGCTGGAACCTACTCCACAGGCGGGATGCAGTAGCACACACACATCACACATGTAATTCCAGCATGATGACTGTGAGATGGGTGGTCAAGATGGGAATATTGCCCAGGAGCTCAAGGGCCAGCTACGCTAGGCTATACAGTGCAACTGCAGAAACAAGAGAGACCCTGCCTCAAGGTGGAAAGCAAGAACCAACTCCCCCAAAGTTGTCCTCTGACCTCCACATGCATGCTACAGCATACAGGCACCCCCTTCTCTCTCACACATAGATACAAATAAAAAGAATAGTGAAGTTCTGATGCAGCCTCCATCATCCAGTAATTTGGTAAAATGACAAATATAAGAGGAGAGACTCTGCTCTATGTTCTCTGAGCCCTTTAGAAAACATGGAGGTGTTCTGTTGGCCACATACATGCAAATCTACAAGACAGGTTGCAGACATCAAGGGAATGGGTACTGTTCAAATGAATGCCCCATAAATGTCACCATGGCAAAACTGGAAGAGTCTACCGTTTTAGCATGCTGATGGCATTGTGTTAAAAAGTTAAAGGTAAGGTTCTTTCCAGCATTACCGTGCATTCTGAGCATCCTGAGCACTGTAAGAGTCAGGACAGATTCCTGAAATAGTGAAGGAAAATGATTGTTTTGTGGGGGAGGGATGAGAGAGGCACCTGGGTTCACCTGGAGCACCAGCCTGCTGCACCCAGAGAAGCTCACTGTGTGAGGCCATGGGAAGGAGCCTGTGCTGCTGAAACCTGATCCCTGAGAATTCATGGCTTCATGTTCAAAAAGAAATTTTGGACCTAGACTGTCAACATATTTTCTTAACAAAAAGTAGTAAAGTTAATTTAATTCATAGAACTGGACGATGCTGATCAGTGAAGTATTAATGGCACAAAGTAGTTCTCATATATTTTCCCTAAATCTTTCTCCTCTTCAGCCTTTTATTAACACATTACAATGTACACACCATATGTAGAAAGTTCTGGGCCTCCCTTCCCTCCTCCCTGCCTTTATTGGTTTCTTGATGAGCTCTCTGTCTGCTGGGAGGGAACTTATTATGTAACTCAGGCTGGCTTTGAATTTGCATCAATCCTCCTGCCTCAGTCTTTCAAATGCTTTGATTACGAGCATGCACATCGCACACACACACACACACACACACACACACACACACACACGCACACACACACACACACTGCTGCATAAACGAAGCATACTATTAATCAAATTGACAGCTCTAACAGCACTAGTCGTTTGCTTTAGGGCTGTACATCGGAGGTGAATTTGTTTCCTGTTTTCTCTTATTAGCACAGGAAAATGATGGGTGTCAGCAAAAGCAGTCATTAAAGATGGAGAAAAGCTAGCCAAACTGACAAACGGAAAGGAGTATTAATTTTCAGACAATAACTAAGACTGAAAAGAAATATACACTGGGCTTCACCTAATCTCTCTCAAACATGTGTTTACAAACATAAGGAGGCTACCCCATTTCCACATACATAACTGTATCACAGATTTAGGATTCCACACCCACGGCAGCATCAATTTCCTAATATCTGCCATGCACAAGTCACTATCCTCACAAGGGAAAGAAGCACAGTAAAAGGTACCACGCCCCCGGAGACCCAAGTGACAGATGTAAACAAAACCGCTCTACACAGTATGAGTGAGAGCAAAAAAGGGAGGGGGAGGGACTCTAGATAAATGGCTCAGTGGTTAAGAGCACTTGCTTCTCTTCTAGAGGACCTGGATTTGGAGGCTATCACCAATATAGGGAGGGATCCCAGCGGCCTGGAACTCCACTTCCAGGGGATCTGATGTTGCCTACACACATGTGGCACATAACATTCAGGCACACACATAGTCATAAAAGAGAGAAAGAAGGAACAGAGGGGAGGGATTTAATTTAAATGAGGTGACAAGTCCCAGGGGAGAAACTGTTAACTGCACTCATTCTGTGAATGAGTCTTAGTTTGGAAACAGAGCAAGTACCTTAGTAAAGGTGTGTTTTAGCGTCCCCTAGCTGGATCACACTGGCTACTTATTAGAGAGAGGTGTCCTGCCTTCTCCCTTCTGTGAACATTTGCTTAGCTGGAATGTGTGAAAGGTACAACGCTACTTACATCACAGTTAAGCCAAGAATACTGGCAATTACGGGAAGCTAATATGAGAATAAGAGACATCGCTTCTCGGCCTTTTGGCTAAGATCAAGTGTAAGAGATAAATTATTTTTTTCAGAGAATCAGAGAAAGTAACTCAACACTAAAACACTAAGCAACTTGTTTTTGTTTAGGTAATAGCATATTCAACCAAGAGTAAAAGAGAAAACATTTGGAAAGGGATCACATAGTAGTTCACTATGTGGTCTTTGCTGAAAAAACAAAACAAAACAAAAAAACCCAGCACTACTCTTAAGAGTGACTAAATGATAATCTCTAAGATTTTACAAATACAAAGTAAATGTAGAGCAGCAAATTAAGCAATTTAGAAAAACAACTTTAACGGCGCATAAAGAGGGCAGCTGAAGAATTTTAAGTTCATAATACGGGCAGGTTAATATTTCGCCTGGTTAGACCGGCAAATTACACTGTTAAGTGTGCCAGTTGTTTTAAACACAGCTTTCTTTTTTTTTTTTTCCAACATCCGTGCAATTACGTAGGTTTGCCAACCCATAAACACAGGCATCCTCATACAGATTTAAGCCATTTATTGCCTGGGGCACGACGGCCGTACAACTATCCAGTTGCCTCTCCTTTTGTCTTGCTGAGTATCCGGGGTCCAAACAAATACAACGGCTTTATTTTATTTCATACTGTGGAAGGCAAGGTGGCGCCAAAAAGCGCAGCTAGGAAAAAGCCTGGCGCGCCCGGGTCCCGGAGGCTGGCGTAGCCCCGCCCCCCGGGTGCTGGGGCCACGCCCTGCCGGGGCGCGCGTCTCAGCCCCGCGTGGCGCTCCACTCGCGGGCGCGCGCTCACTGCGCGCCTCCCGGCCGGGGGCTTCGCCGCCTGGGGCAAGCGATCCGGGCCGAGCGGAGGGATGCTTTCCAAATGGCTCCGCAGCCACAGGCGTCTAGCTGGGGCCTCCCAGCTCCGCGGGGAGTTCGGAAACGAAAAGCTGCGGGTTGGAGGGCCACAGTCCCCGGGACGCGCGGCTGCGGCTGCGGCGCTCACTTACTGGCTGACACGCACTGTCTGGTCGCCGGGGACGCGCTGCTTCCCGCCGGTGCTCACCCGGGCTCGCGCGGCGTGGGAGGGGGCGGGGCGTGCGCGCGGCCGCTCGCTCGAGGCGGGGGTGGGGAGGGTGGCTCGCCTTACGCGGGGGCGCGCAGGCTTCGTCCCCGCCGCTTTCGCCCGGCCTCGGCGGAGCCTGTGCTTTTCCCGCGATCCCCGAGCCGCGCACCGTCTCAACTTTCCGGCCGCTGCGGCTCTTCCGGGTGCGGACGCCGGCGGGCGGGCGGGCGCGCGCGCGCCCCTATCAGCGCGGGGATCCGGCGAGGGGGCGGGGCTTTGGGGACTGGGGCGGGGTTTGGGTGGAGCAAGGGGAGTTGAGGGCGGGGTTAGGGCGCGTTGGAATTCCAGGGCTGGGTGATGGGGGAAACTCAGGCGGGGCGGGGCTAGGCTAGAGCGGGGCGGGGCTAGGGCGGGGCTGGGGGCCGGCAATCTGGGACTAAGGTTGAGAAGTTAGTATCAAACGTGTGTGTGTGTGTGTGTGTGTGTGTGTGTGTGTGTGTGTGTGTGTGTGTGTGTG